GCACTGCAAGCTGTGTTACGAAGCAGAGCTGCTGTCTGTCCCTTAGCCTTGAGATCGTTTTAGTGACTTGGTTCAAAGGGAGAGTGTCGACAGTGAACTTCTTGAAGCCCTGACGGGAATGGCACTCAAGAGTCTAGGCTTTGAGTGAAGCAGGGGAGTAAACACTCATGGTTTCTGCAGCTCCCCCTGGAGATTCTGTCACACTGCTAAAGTGCAGGAGAGGAGAGCATGGAGAACATGCCTGTGCGTAGACCAGGTTTGGAGCTACGTGCTACATCTCCTTTCAGACTGTGTGAAGGCCAGTGGGGAGGAGGTAGGTGTGTGAGGCTGTCATTAAACACAGGCCAACTTCTGGAAAATAAATCGTAATGTTGGATGATTCCTGGCCTCCTAAATTAGTCTGTTCCTATCGTGCTGATCAGAGGTGGGGGTAAGCAGCAGGAATGGGCCTGTGAGTGCTCTCAGGAGAGGGTTTCCGCTGCCATGGTGAATTACACACGAGGCATTTGTGAAAACCTGAAAGAGGATGGCTAAACAGGATGGTTCAACCATCTTGCTGATGTTGGCCCTGGGGGCTGTGCCACCGCCCTTTGTATCTGGTAAACACCTGCCATTCAGTTGACCTTCTTATTTAGCTCTTAACCAGCAAGAGCATTCCTGTGGTAAGCCATTACCTGCCCGGGGATTCTAAAACAATCAAGTGCAGAAAGGAAGGCGTTTCTTAGAAGGAACACATATTCATTTTGTTTCCTCTTGGCTTGTGAAGGTTTAAAATGTAAATATATTACAAACCATAGTCCACAAGTAGATTTAGAAAGGAAAATCTTTTATCCCTTTCTCATTATAATGGTGGAGACAGAACATTTTATTTAAATGTCATAGATTTAAACTAACGTATACCTTACACTTGCATATACACAAAAGGCAAATGAGAAAAAAGAGAATATTAGCACTAGGAATAACTTTGGAGACCAGCTGGACCAGCCACTACTTTTCAGAAGGAAAATGTAAGGCCAGAGGTTAACACAATTGCTCAAGAATACACATAAAGTTTGTATTTAAAAATTTTTAAATTTGTAATTCAGGATTTTACCCATAGTTAGTATATAGAGTATTTCCCTTATATAAATGTTGTACAGGTAAAAAAAAAAGTCTCATGAATTTCTTGAAATTAAATGTCCCAGGCATCAGATAGTTGTTAACCACAATACTCACAGACCTACTTCATTCTGTGTGGAAAAAAAGGAATTTACATTTTTTTCATGTGACAGGGAATTTTGATTCTAAAACAGCCCAGTCCCCAACAACTATTTTCTAGCCCTCCTTTAAAATGTACTTCTTCAGGGGCTCCTGGGTGGCTTAGTCAGTTAAGCGGCCGACTTCAGCTCAGGTCATGGTCTCTCGGTAGGTGAGTTCAAGCTCCGGGTCCGGCTCTGTGCTGACAGCTCAGAGCCTGGAGCCTGTTTCAGATTCTGTGTCTCCCTCTCTCTGACCATCCCCTGTTCATGCTCTGTCTCTCCCTGTCTCAAAAATAAATAAAACGTTAAAAAAATTAAAAAAAAAATGTACTTCTTCAGAAGCTTAAGACGTAATAGATTTCCCTATGTTCCAGCTAAGCAAAGCCATTTAGGATCTTTTTATATATTCATAGGTCACTTCCCTTTCTTCTTTTGGTGACCTGGCTGTATATGTTTTGCCCTTTTGCAGGGAGGGGGAATGGAGAGGGATGGTTTTTGAATTTTTAACTCTCTGAATATGCCTGTTTCCCCTGTCCATGATCTAAGTTGTAATTTTTTCTTCTGGTTTGTCAGTTGACTTTGCTTATTCTGTTTTTCCCTACCTTCCATGATTTTAAAGAAAACTTCCAGTTGATGTTCGGCTCACTCTTTATATTTATCAAGGTCGATTTGGCAGAATACACTCTAAAAGCAGCTTAAAACCCAGGATTACACGGTAGATAGCAGTAGTCCTATGCGAATCTATTGTTAAATATCCGGGAAGATTCTGATATTTTCTAGATTATTAGCATGACCCATAATATCACACCAGATAATTTTTGATCCGTAAGTATGTGGACTAGTTAAGGACTCCAAGACCACTTATTTATATATTGATTTTTTAACTTCTTTTTTTAAAAAAAATTTTGTTTTACCGTGTATTCATTTTTGAGAGACAGAGAGAGACAGAGCATGAGCAGGGAAGGGCAGAGAGAGGGAGAGACACAGAATCTGAAGCAGGCTCCAGGCTCTGAGCTGTCAGCACAGAGCCCAATGCGGGGCTCGAACTCACAAACTGTGAGATCATGACCTGAGCTGAAGTCGGACGCTCACCCGACTGAGCCACCCAGGAGCCCCAATTTTTTAACTTCATAAAGTCATAGTTTCTTAGTTTATTTAGTGTATTCTGAATCCATACAAAAGTAAGCCAGTTGCTTTTATAATAAAATTATTCTTTTATTTAAAATAGTTATATTTTTGTAAAGAATAGAGTAAAAGTGCTTTTGAAAATCAACTTAGGAATATCCAAAGCTCATTGTTTCAGATATTTCTCTTGAAAACCTCTTCTCCAGAATCATTTAATGTTTTTTTAATAAACAGAAAATATCCTTTTTTGTAAGGAAAGTAAAAACTGATATAGCTATATTTTACTCAGATCTAATAGGAGGAGATTTTGCTCTATAACAGAAAGCCTAACTATTTAAGTAAGACTTGTGTACCAAGAAACATAGATGAAGAAAGGTTAGCAAAAAATCAAAGGTTAGCAGAAAAATCAAAATATTACCAGCGGTTTCACAGAGTAGTATAATTCTCTGTGACTTATTTGTTTTTCACATCTTCCCTTTGGATTTTCAAATTCTCGTTAATAAGCCCATTCCGAACGTAGTAGGACATTTGAA